AATAACAGTTAATAAGATTTCATAACGAAATACGTTCGATACCTTATATACAATGAAACAATTATGTTCCATCGGCCCGAATCAATCACTGCACTTGCAATCAACAATCATTATCTCCCGATTCTTGATTGTCAACAATAGATGTTGTAACGATTGTGATGTAATTGCTACCATTGAAACACATCATTAACACCCCGTTTGCCGAACTGACTGGCTGCAATTAACACGCTTTTTGCTTGGCAAGAGTTCGGCAAATGTTTACGGGCTATAGAAAACGCAGTCTTTGAAGCGTCAAACGTATTTTGAATGGGATAATTTGGCCATATGGTCCACGCGCTTGATATTTACCTGTCAAAATACGGAATATCCGTGATTGTTTATCAAAACATGTCAAATATTGACGTAAGACAAACACGGAAGTGACGTGATGAGTTTATAACATGAAATTGACACAAATTTGCGATAGGATCTCTCAAGGAAACCACGTCTGTCAACACCGTCTGTACAAATAGGATTTGATAAACAAATACATATTTGTTTATTCCATATATTAAGTAAAGAATGTTATTTTTAAATATTACATCACATAATGGGGTATCATCTGTAAATGTCAGTACTCAACTTCAACATAAGTTTATGAGAGTATGCGTGGGTTTCATGTTTCTGGAAGCAAAAAATAATGAATCTTTTAAGGTTGTTGGGTTTTTTAACTCTGTAGCGTTGCGTAAGAAATCAGATTAAATAAATCCTAAATAATACTTAATTTAATGACACCAGAATTTACGTACTAAGTTACTTATGTATACGTTGATGGTATTTCTGACTTTTATGAATATAAATGGGTCTATTAACAGAGAAGCATTAAATTTTTCATTTTTGATAATTTTATTTCAGTTTTATCATTATTTAAATACATTTATACCACTGCATTCTTAAATACTTATCTCTGACATTATAACAGTGAATTAGCATGCGTTCCTTTTTCCACAAAACAAACAAGAAAACTTTGTGTATGGCTGAAACATTCCGTTACGAAACAGTAGCCAAAATACAGGACCTGTTTATCGGCAAGATAAGCATGTATGTGCGTTTGCAAAGCCATCAGCAGCGACTAATAACTTAAATGTCATGTTTCTTTTGATTACAATATTATATCATATTACGCAAATTTGAATTAATATCATTCTATATTCTCAGATGCATCCTGCAAGGCTCTCGGAAACCAGTATGTAATGTCTTTCTGCATCTCAAGTCTATATCTGTATACAAGAGATGAAAGGCAGAATGACATACTGTGCCGGCCAACTGATGAGAAAGTTTGTTCATTTGGATAATTTAATTCCTGGAAAGGGTAAGCAGGTCCGTTATCACACATAGTTCGTGTTTCATTAGCAAGGGCATAACGGTTTCAATCTAACGGTAAACCGACATGGTTAGACACTGACTGAGATTGTTATCTCTCTGATATTAATATTGATATTTAAAGATTAATTCAACCAGGTCCCCCCTTTAACATAAAAAAAGTACTCCTTTAAAATTGTCTTCGGTACGCACTCAAGACATTTACAGTTGCAATGTTGCCTTATCCTAAACAATAGAAGAAAAAGATAGATTTTTTTGTTGTTGCAATTTATGGTTTCGACAATAGCCATCATCTGTGGTGCCAGATATAATAGTAACGATCATCAACAACTTCAATCAGCAGAGGGTATTTGGCTAGTTTTGAATATCAAAATTCATGATTCTTTGTCTATACTACATATAAAAGCCTTTGCATATCAATACGATATTTTGCAAAAAAACAGAGTCGACTGTCTGACTCCGGCCATATCATGAGTGTGTGTCTATGAATCACTATCAAATAGTGATCATGCATAAACGATGATTAAATACTAAAAACAATTGTTGACTGACAGAGAAATAAAACGAGTTGAACCTTGACACGCACTGCTACTGTGAAAAGATATTAGACTTGTAGTCCTGCACCATGACCGTGGAATATATTTATTTTATGAAAAAATAATAATCTAGAAAAAGCAAAAAGCAAGTCTAGCCAGCTCAAGCTAGCTCTATTCCACATCAGCATAGGGAATTTTTTTTATTTTTAGAGTCAAGAAGGATATTGTGTAATATAAGATTTCAGAGACTAAATGTTAGTCTATTAGACTTGTTGCAACCAAAGCTGTGGTTGCAGTGCTTTCCTGAAGCTGCGAAAAGCTACCTGCACGTGTGCTATCAACCATCTACGGTGTCGCTGCCATATCTCCATCATGACAAAATCATGTCTCCCTGAACACTCCCTAAGGTGACTTGTGGTAACATGTCATAAAACTATCTAATGTGTTCGAAGTACTAAACCAAGAGTACAAGAATAGTTATCGCTAGACATTCGCATTTTCACCAAATCTGAGAACTTCAATCTGCAGATAGATACCGTCAAGTTTCAATCATTAAGCTAACAATGAAACCTCGCATTAAAAAATGAAAATAACTGGTGTTTTGCAACTGTAGGTATGAAAGAATTATACCATTAGCAAAGAATGACGTTTCAGATATTCATGAAGCTTCCTCATGTATTACATGACCATTTTGAACGTGGGTAAATTTTGAAAAGTTTAAAAAAAGATGAAAGAATAGATTTATTGAATACGTTTAGATTTACATAGAGTATGGAAAAAAATTACAAATCGAACATGGTTTTCCACGATACTGGTTTTAAAGTGTTGGGTTTAGGCTTATAGCATACACTGAATTAATATCATCAGTTATAGGCTTTTCTCTATACGCTTTTGCCAAGTATATACATTTTTTACCTCACACGATCTGAGTCTCAAATCACAAAATCAACCGCTGTAAGTAAACTCATTCATTTAGAGTATTAATATTAATATTGTGTTCTGTTATATAAAGAGTATATGTGACGAAGTTCTATTAATAATTTGGTTTTAGCATAACGCCACTTTTCCACAACAAAAACTGTTCTAGCTATCTATGAACATGTATCTCTTGTATTTAGCGATAATCGGTGAACACGAACCGAAAATTTCGTTACTTCTTGATATAAAGTCGATTAACGAAATCAACATATTTTATTTTCACAAGACACAACTGCCCATTGACGTTGAAAATACCAGTTAGGATTGGAGGTTCAGTATAACTGGAGTCGAGTTGTCACTTATCTGCGTATGGAGCAAATACGGTATGGCATTTGCAGTGGAGAATATTTTGTACGCCATACGTACCAGGTATATGTCATTGTTCAGTAAAAGCCGTTTCTGAATTGTTGGGAGGTGATTACATTTGGCCAATGTAGCCGATTCGTTGTTCATATGAAATCGATTACTCAACTGCCATGTGTTGTTCCCACCAACAAGCGTGCAATTAACACCATCCAGTCAAAGTAGAACATGCCCTTTACCGCGCACGCTACACAGATTATAATGTTTGAAAATGCACGTGTGCTACCAACATCTTTGATAATATGAAATCGATAGGTGAAATTGACACGTGTTGATTTCACTATCAACACGATCTTCGACGCGGAGAGATAAATCACGAAAAACACCAGAAGTTACGTAACTGTGTTTGGCTTTTTAAATATGGAGTATAATTATATACTTTAATGAATAAAACACTCATCTAACATAACAACGATATTAATCTATGATGCAGTGTATATGAAAACTGGTAGAATTGCTAATTTCGTTTGGGTCGAGTTCTTACGTGCATTAAGTATACATGTACATTCATTACAGGGAAACTGTAGAACGTGATATGATGGTATATAACGTGTTCGCTGACATTTACGTAAAATGAGATGGTTATTATCATAATAAGCACATTAACGTTTGACTTGTCACGTGTTAGGACGACAAAAACTTTATGTGAGCGACGGGAATGAACAGAGAGAGGATTGAAAGATGGAGAGAGGAATTACTCTGGAGAGAACTTTGTTACTTGGAGCTGCTTTGAAAAAACATTAACGCATACTGTATCTTCAGCATATTGAATATCAATCACCGTCATGTTGCAACATGACCACGTGGTTTGGTCTTTATGACAACAAGCGTGTAACGGATATCGTATCCCAGCTGTAGAGTAACAGATTCTTGATCATTTGTAACAGAGAAAGAGATATTTGATCATTTGTAACAGAGTAAGATATATTTGATCATTTGTAACAGAGTAAGATATATTTGATCATTTGTAACAGAGTAAGATATATTTGATCATTTGTAACAGAGTAAGATATATTTGATCATGTATGACAGAGTAAGAGATATTTGATCATTTGTAACAGAGTAAGATATATTTGATCATTTGTAACAGAGTAAGATATATTTGATCATTTGTAACAGAGTAAGATATATTTGATCATTTGTAACAGAGTAAGAGATATTTGATCATTTGTAACAGAGTAAGATATATTTGATCATTTGTAACAGAGTAAGAGATATTTGATCATTTGTAACAGAGTAAGATATATTTGATCATTTGTAACAGAGTAAGATATATTTGATCATTTGTAACAGAGTAAGATATATTTGATCATTTGTAGCAGAGTAAGAGATATTTGATCATTTGTAACAGAGTAAGAAATATTTGATCATTTGTAACAGAGTAAGAGATATTTGATCATTTGTAACAGAGTAAGAGATATTTGATCATGTTAAACGGATATTAGATCAAACGAGCATCACCCGTCGCAAACGCTCCGGACACTTGTGTTGTTGAGGTTCCGAGTTATAAAACTCGGTTCTGAAAGTGTTACATTGAAGTAGGTGCTCTGCTGGGCGAAATAAACAAAGCCGAAATCTAGAAATCGGCTTGTCCCGGTCTGCAATTGAAATTAGCAGATGCCAAGTCGTTCACGAGACTCTCTCAGAGTACCGCGGAACAACTGCTCTTGTCAACAATCTCAAGACGTGCCTTCTCGAAATTTGTATCGACCAAAGCCAATGACAAGATAGAATTAAAAGTGAAAAAGTTAAGAAACCTACCTTTGATATAAGCCACAACTGCTACAATGACAATCCACATGTTTCGAAGATTCCAAAGTAATATCACGGTGTTCCAATGAAAAAAAACAGTCACAAGTTTTTTATCCAATAGTTCCGGAAAAGACTAAAGCTGCGTTCAATCACTCCGAACGGTCAGATTTCCACTTCGGCAACCCTCACCTTCCATATTGACCGTACAGCTCGTGTGGACACACAGTCAGTGATGCATAAACACAGGTCACGTGACAAAACCCCCTCCTCTGCTCTTTCAACGGCTGCACACTGCCGGTCAAAATCTCTCCCAAGTATCTGAGCGGAGCGAGAGACTCCACACAGCGCTACACAGTAACGGACTTCTCTCACAGCTTAGCGCGGAGGACGCGCGTGTGAAAGGGTCGTTGTTGCTCCGACTGCGCCAAGCGTTCGCCAACATCCGCTGAACGATGGAGCGATTTGAGGGTGTCTTGTTCGTGACAAACAGTACTAAGACGTCCGTGCAAGCTTGTCAAAGTCGAATGGCAGCAGTTTTTGTCTTGGATAAGATTTTGTAGGAATGTTACCTCGCATGCGTCTAACGTGACGGGTGTGTACAAAATCAAGCTCCGAATTTAAAACGAGATCATGTTTAATTGATTTATTATTATAAATGATTATCGATATTCTGATCAGAATGGAGCAAAACGAACGGGGTTGTATTCTGGTAAATTTTAAATGTAATTCAATTTTGTGTCCGATTTGAAGTAAATGTGAAAAGGTAATAAAGAAATTAATCGTTTCGAGATTGGATTTTAGATACCCAGGGCTACAACTGGATAGGATAGGATATTTCTGTATTTTGTTGTACAAAAATAAACGAATTAAATGTTATACAGATGTACGATAAAAACAAGAAAGCTGGAACTGAATATGAGTTATGAAAAGGTATGAGCGTTTATTATTCAAAATCCAATCCGTGGATAGCTTGTCTTTCTCAGGGACGATATTTGTTTTCATCGATCTTTGTATAAGGCTTGTTAAACTAAATATATAATTGTTTTTTATGACCCACTCCTCATAGTTTATTTTTTTAACATTTTAAGCGCCGACGTTTTCAACCCAGATTTCGATTTTGACTGTTTGCCCGAGCATTGCTATTTAGTCATTGTATGTCAGATTCGAAACGGAAGACTTAGCCGTACACTCGGCTTTACTTGAATTGTCTGTGTGAATGACCGATTGAATTATTTATTGAGAAATTATATGTCGTACGTAGAAGTAAACAGACCGCCGCAGCGGTCTAGCGGAAGGTCGGGGTTCGATCCCGCCCGCGTCATAACACAATACGTTAAAAGTTGGTACTTGTTGTTACCCTGCCTTGTGCTCGTCATTAAGGGTCTAAAAAAGGACTGGTCGGCTCGGAGTCAGTATACTGTGTCTGAGTGGGGTATTCATGTTTAACTGCGGCATGGTATCTCAGTGGGTTTGCACTATAAATCGGCATTAGTCCGGGCTAGTACAAGCAGCCACACACGCACGCACGCACGCACGCACACGCACACGTGCGTGCACGTCGCATTAAAAGTACAACAATGTGGAACGCAACAACAACAACAATATATACCTCACAAACAGTAAACATAGTAATTATACAAAAGGAAACATAGGACTTTACATACAAACAAGATTGGTATGTGTTTGTGTACATTTACAGAGAAGCCCATCCCGACATCAACACATATATGTGCGTATACCTACATATACATCCACTACATATATACACGTACATATCCATCCAACGAAGAAGGCACATGCTCATTGCAAACCTTTCACCTCAACATACATGCTTACATTCACCCAGATTTGGGCATACACACTCACACCTACATGGACACACTAACACCTCCGACCTGTGAAGATCCGGGGTAGAATAGGTCTTCAGCAACCCATGCTTGCCGTAAAAGACGACTATGCTTGTCGTGAGAGGCCCGCGACTAACGGGATCGGGTGGTCAGGCTCGCTGACTTGGTTGATGCATGTCATCGTATCCCAATTGCGTGGATCGATGCTCATGATGCCAATCGCTGGATTGTCTGGTCCACACTCGATTATTTAAAGACCACACGTACACACACACACACACACACACATACATACAAACATACATACATACATCCATACATACATACATACATACATACATACATACATACATACATACATACAAAGGTACATACGTACATACACACATATATATACATATACACACACGTACACACACATATACACACATACATACATACATACAAAGGTACATACGTACATACACACATACACACATCTATATACATATACACACACGTACACACACATATACACACATACATACATACATACAAAGGTACATACGTACATACACACATACACACATCTATATACATATACACACACGTACACACACATATACACACATACATACATACATACAAAGGTACATACGTACATACACACATACACACATCTATATACATATACACACACGTACACACACATATACACACATACATACATACATACATACAAAGGTACATACACACATACACACATCTATATACATATACACACACGTACACACACATATACACACATACATACATACATACATACAAAGGTACATACGTACATACACACATCTATATACATATACACACACGTACACACACATATACACACATACATACATACATACATACATACATACATACATACATACATACATACATACAAAGGTACATACCGTACATACATACATACACACACACACATACACACACACATACATACATACAAAGGTACATAGCGTACATACATACACACACACACACACACACACACACACATACGTACGTACATACATACATACATACATACATACATACATACATACATTACATAAATGGTTCTTTAAGAACGTAGGATGGAGTGAGTAGTGTTTAACGCCGCTAGGAACAGTATTCCAGTTATATCACGGCGTGTCAGATTGATGTGGGAGGAAAGCCCGAAGTGATGCGGGTCACAGACGTTTACCACTTCGGTGAAACCCGTGAGGACGGGTATGGTGGCGGCCCTATGATGGAAACGACTTTTAATGATATTTATTTATAATGTCGTTATCATTTCAGCATTTTATGTTTTATGTTGCAAAGCATGAACTACATAGATTACGGGGAGTGTGTGTGTGTGTGTGTGGGGGGGGGGGGGGGGGGGGGGGGGGGTTGAGGGAGATGAGGACGAAGCTATACGCTGATACGTAACAAAATGATAAAATCCATCAGATACAGATTGAATCTCCCAGCGACAAGCGGATCCATACCTGACTAAGGTAGGCAACTCCATGACGACTAGGAATACCGGAAAGTATAACCATTTTAGTTACGGCTAACTTTACGCCTGATCAAACAACCAGTTTGAATCTCTCGCCTCCATGCACATTGTACACAGTTAATCACATCATTGATAACGTATTATTGATGGTCCATTAAAACTCTGGAAATAACATCACTTCATACAGACGGATCTTCCTTCCCAACAGGCAATGTTATAAAGCATAGGAAGTACATTGCAAGAAATGAACGTCGACTTAATTCACACTCTGGCAACCAAGCCGTTCCTTTGTGTGGTAAGCGCACCCTTATGACAGAACCAGTTTTGTTTCCGTCGGCGACCTATCCTGTTATCTATCGCCGTAAACCGTTCTGACGAGGGTCAAAACAATTTCGACGCAGGCTGAGAGCTCTAATGCTAATGTCGTAATGCGGCCAAGGATATAATTCACTTGACGGCGTATGTTGCATGTTACCATTATGTCTTTCATCGTGTCAAAATCTGCTTTAAATTAAATATTCCTGGATCGTGTTAACATATCTTCCTTCTGTTGATAGTCGTCAAATTTGATAACCAGTATAACGGACCAAAAACAAGGCTGTTTCACCTTATTAAACACTTGCACGTCGTACTGTCGGTATTTTTCGATCACCTGGGCCGGTATCATCGTGGTGATGACTGTGATGATGATGATGATGATGATGATGATGATCATCATCATCATCATCATCATCATCATCATTATTATTATCATTATCATCATTATCATCATTATTATTATTATCATCATCATCATCATCATCAACATTAGTATTATCATCATCATCGCATCATTATTATTATTATTATTATTATTAATATCATCATCATCATCATCACCATTAGTATTGTCATTATCATCATCATCATTATTATTATTATCATTATTAATATCATCATCATCATCATTATTATTATTATTATTATTATTATTATTATTATTATAACAGATGAAAAAATGTCTTCAGCGTCATGAAAAACAGTACTATTAAATTGAATACCATTTTATCCAAATTTAAGCCCAGGGCTTAAAAATGAAAAAGGACGAAAAAATGATAAGGAGGAATAAATATCTAATGTGTAATAAAACCATGCTAACTTATAAATGGAATGATCCAGAGAGCAACACTTTAACACAAGAGATGTTTTTCTTCTTCAGCTTCATGTCTCGCATTGTCTAGAATAAAAGTTCTTTTTATGAAATGTCACAGAGAATTTGTTTACCATATTTTGCTTTTTCAACCGTATGTCATTCATTCCTCTTAGAAATAAATTGAATCTAATGTGGCGGTGCTACTTAGTGTATGGTAACATATACTGTACAATGGAAGTTAAGGATCATCGATTCTTTCATATTGCTATAATTAATCTGTCATGCCATGACAGATTGATTATGGCAATATGAAAGAATTGGGTGTTCTTTAACATTTTCCTATAACGTTTTTATATGACATTTCACTGGGTAAAATGTATGGAGAATATTTGGCTTTTTGTGAGACACCATGTTCACCTGACTCGAAGGATATACAGAAGACTTTTTGACAAGATAATACAAAATGTAATAATTAAAAAAAATATGAATTTTATTTCTGTTCTACGTCTGAAAACCATTGTTTCATTACTCGGACAGAATGTAGTTCCGTCAAAAATTGTATTGAGATAAATATTAAGAGTGGGTGTGGTTTTACGCCGTTTTTAACTCTATTCCAGCAATATCACAACGGGGGACACCAGAATCGGGCTTCTCGTTTTGTACTTGTGAACCAATATGAGGACGTGTGTGGCCAGTAGGCCCATGTAGTCGCATTTCATTGTACAGAGTTGCGTCCCTTACCAGTACCAGGATCTGCTGATAACATAATAATGGTACTCGGGGAATTCACCGAAGTGGTAAACGTCCGCGACCTACATCAGTTGAGGCTTTCCTCCATCCTGAATAATACCGATATTCTGTTGAATGCGGTGTAAAATCTTATTCACTCACTCAAAATATGTACATGTCTGTGAAAGGCGACTATGCTGGTCGTAAGGGGCGACTAACGGGATCGGCTGATCAGACTCGCTGATTTGATTGATGCATGTCATCGTATCACAATTGCGTGGATCTATGCTCATGATGTCAATCACTGGATTGCCTGGTCCAGATTCCATTATTTACAGACAT